GTACTCCAGGATTTCAAGTCGTCCGCAAAGAGTAGACATGGACCCGCGAGATCATCTTGGACGTCGTTGGCGTAGATCAGAAACAGCACTGGTCCCAGGACGGAGCCTTGAGGAACTCCAATGGAGACCGGCGCTGGAGAAGGGTAGGTCGAGCCTGTTTCCACTCGGACTGATTTTTCCTTGTATCCCGTAAGACTCGATGGTTTCTGGACACTTTAGGAAACTCGACGGAAAGCAAAACGGATGCGTTCTTGGGATCCAGGAGGACTTTTAGAGGGACGGATCTACATGTTTGTTCAGGAGTGTTATTTGACGTGTTCTGAAGGCTGCACTCTGATTGGCCCCATTCCTGACCAATCAGGGCCTCCTGGTCCGTAGGCAGCGAACCATGTACTCGTCAAAATCCTAGGGTTGCCAGCTGAAACAGACTTATGAAATTATCAGCCGGATGGGGAACCCGTGTATCGAAGCCTTGCGATGCGGCTTACAAACCTAAATCCAGGAAAACTTAAGTTTTCTCTCCGTCTCATATTAGGCCACAGCCTGATTATGCAACCCAGGAACGCTGTAGAAAGTTCATCCACCGGGTGCATTAATGATCCATGAGCTGCGGTAAGTCTACTACCCCGAACGATGTAGCCGGATACCATCCTCTGGTTTATTGTCGTGTGGGACGCGGTGGCTCAGTGGTTAGGTCGGGAATTTACTGACTGGAAGGTCCGTTGTTCGAACCTGACATCTACCTATCGCCCTCCCCTGTCTGGGCTTGGGCAACCTGGCAGTGTCACAGCTCACCTTTTAATGGTATCGCACTTAGACACCAAAAGGGTGCTACAGCTGAATGTTTTTTACTGTCGACTCCGTGAGGACAACACTGACGTGCAAAATTACCAAGGAAGGTTTATGTTGGAGATTGAGACCACTTTTCAAGCTGAATTCAGCATCATTCATCATCATCATTGTCAGCCGTAATAACCGCGTACTCGTCGTACAGTGGTTGCAGCTGCCGCAGTTTCGTTCACCGTTGATTTGGGGGAGGGGGTTGGTAGTTGCGCATTGCAGGCGCGAGCTGGTAAGTTGGTGCGTAAATCCAGCACTGTCAGCGGGTTGTCAAGTAGGGGGTGGGTGGAAAAGGAGCTATGCATTGAAGGCAAGAGCTTCGATGCACAAGCGCCATTGAGGGCGCGACTGAGCCATGTCTGACAATGTCTTCAGCCATTGATGTGGCCCGTCTCGGGGTCTCCATGCAGGAAGACGGCAATGACCAGCACCATTGAGTTTGCTGGTAATGGCTTTCATACTTCGCTGCCAAGTCATTGTTTGACCGCCTCTGGCTCTCTTCCACCCTTCACATGGTTGGGCGAAAAGAGCCCTTCGAGGAAGTCGGTCGACTGGCATACGCAGCACGTAGCTAAGCCAGCGCAACCTGTGCAGTGTGATCAGGTCATCTATCGAGGATGAGTTATTTCTCCCGAATACCATTCGACGTACTTCAGCATTGCTGATCCGATGTTCCCACCAGATTCGAGCAATGTTCCGAAGACATCGATGGTCAAACACTGAAAGTCTTTTGACGTCCTCGGCGCGCAGCGGCCAGGTTTCTGATCCATATAGTAATATGGAGCGCACCGCAGCATTGTAAACCCGACCCTTGACAGAGAA